TATTTGATGCAAATTAATATGAAGTATGTTATGCAAATTAATAAGAGATAATTTTCTATAGTCTGTTATTGTTTCTTTGTATTTGATCCAGTATATACACAATGTCATCAAGTAAAACATTGGGCCGCAAGACAAGTAAGGACAACTAGGAAAATCAAACATTATGATTTTCTAAGACGAAACTCATGTCAATAAGATTTCTTTCAAAAACACTTGGTTCTTTACATTGCATGCTTACTAGTAGACTAGAGAGAAAGATCAACTATATGACACTTCAAGATCAGCATTAACTAACTCTCAAGGATAAGGATTAAAACACATTAACAAGATAAAGATTATGTCTTGAGTGTTAACATGCAACGCAAGTACAAAGTACAATATATAACAATATAAACATAATAAACCAATAAAAGACAAACTAAACATATAATTAGCCCATAGGTGTATAGGATCATGGAAAGTCATGATAAATTTGATAATTTGATTTAACAAGTATAGTTGAACGCATTAAGTTGCGGCTGAACATAAAACACAGTAGAAAAAGTATAATAGATATATACATGATAAAGTAACTTAAAATTAATCAACATAAGTATATATAATTTATATGTAATCTAAAGATTAAAACACCCATCATCCAATAGACCAGTAATACTTATATCATGGTTTATCGTATTAAGGAAAGAAGATCATAAATCAAACATAATAATCATTAGATTAAAATTAAAGGCAATAAATTCAATAACATGCTCCAACGCTATACAAAATCGATCATTCGCCATATAAACAATTACGCAAAACATTATGTAATCAATAAATAGTAACGGTAACATACTAGATGAATAAAAATAATATCATTATAAAGTTTGTATAATTAAAGGGCCTATAAATTAACACGAAATAATTTATTACTACTCGTAAATCATAAAATAAGGCCAGGTCTTTCTAAAACTCTTTATATCAATTACGATAATTGCTAAATGAATTTCATACAAAATATGTACCAAAAATTCTCAGTTTACTTTACTGAACTTTGCACTCAAAAAGTCGAAAACCTCCGAAGAGCGAAATAATTCAAAATATGAGTTACGACACATTAAAATTATGCTTTTAGCTATCTTTCAACCATTAATAATCTTCTTAAGTTTATCAAATCAACCAAAAAAAAAAAATTCCGACAGATTATACTTTGCTAATAAATTAATAATAGTGCCATGGTATTATACCAATACAAAAGCAAATTTCAAATTAACATAGAATATTAGGTGAATAACAAACCATTGGGTGGAAAAACATACCTTTTTTTTTCCAATTTCCAATCAAATTGGCAAGATTATCAAGGTACAATCATGATCTTTAATATAATGTTCGGGTAGAGCCGTGGTGCTGATAACGTGTTGTGAAATAGGGAGAAACATGAGATATTGAGAGAAAATTAATGTATATATCTTTATTCCATATGATGGGGGTATATATACATACAATATAATTAGGGTTTGCTTGGATAACAATAAACCCTGGATCTAGAATAGTTTGGATGATACAAGATGGATAATGGGCATCCACCCAATATTTCATAACAAGTTACCCAATATTTCATAACAAGTTTTGATAATTATTCATTATTGTACGTCAAATAATTTAAACTAATTAATTAATTTGACGATTGTTGATTAATTACACTAACACAAATATATTAGGTTGTAGTTTTGAGAGAAGACTAGCTTTATGTATATCTTTTTATTGAAATAAATAAATTTTTTTGTCCAATTCACGTTATTATTCTATGATTTTTTGTTATTAATATCTAATCATAACAAACAAAACACACATAGAACATCAATAACACCCGTCTGGTTTCAGCCTCATTAAATCAACAAATATCAACTAACCACTATAAGAGTACAAACTAGCTAAAAAGAGAATAGCTTGAAATCTTACAAAGTACATGATGATTAAGAATAACAAGTTAATTTGGCAATTTACTTACCATTAAAGATATTAAAAAGCAATAACTATATGGATCGATGCACAATTTTATCATGGGATAATTTAGGAAATGCAAGTATCTTAACATTCCTAAGGGCTTTTTATAAAACTATTGTTACTAATAATATTCTTCATAAGACATAATTTCCCCCACATTAACTTTCCGTACTTGGCTAAACAACCTTTATTGTGATTAAAAATAATTAAATCAAATTAAAGTAACATTATTGTAGGGAGAACTATGCAAAAAGCATAATAAAGGAATAAAAAGTTGATATGGGTATAGGGAAAAAGGAGATTCATTATTGTTCCTAGGCCAGGGGGTATGACAGAGATGGAACAACATAAATGCCACTAGATTTCTTCCAAACATCATTGCATTTTTAAAATCATTATTTTAATGATTATATTCATTATATTCTTTACATCTTATCTAAAATTAAATGTGAATACCATGGTTCTTTGTTTTTTTTGTTTTTTTTTTTTTTGGTATATAATATTACTATATTAGTAATATATATTTCCTCCCATCCTTTGACATGGGTATCTCCGATCCGATCTCGCATTTTACTTTTTTAAAAGTTGTATCGAGCTGGTAGGTAGATTTGTCATTTAAATTGTGAGATACATAGTTCATACTAGTAGGTAATGAAGTTGAAAAATATCGAAAGTCCTACGAGACTACAATGTACAATATAGCTAGAGTATGTCGTAATTTATTTAAACTTATTTAAACGTAATTTATTTAAATAAGTTAACATGACATCAATAAAGTTTTCTAATAACTTTCTTTAAAAAAAAAAAAAAATTCTATTAATACTCTTTAATTAATTAATTTTTTGTTACAAAAGTTAGCAAAATTAGTAGGGAAGACCACTTCCAAATATAGTAACATGCAATCTGTTTGAAATACTAACATTTAACACGCCAGCATGCAAATTGATTTGATTCATATCATCAATTGGTGAATTGACAAAAAGCCAATAAATAGCCGAGGTGAGGAGATTCTATATATGATTTTTGTTGGTGTCATTAATGTAAGTACTTCCGCCCGACAATTATAATGTCTGTAAATAATTTTGAAATTGAAAAGGACGTACAAGAACATATATATGATCCATATTAGAAAACATTCACCCAGATATATACTGAAGATATATGGTTCACATGGTTGGTTATACATGGTTTGTCACTAACTGTTCATACATTTATTTGGTACAATGGTACGAAGATGATCACATGTATATATTGTTTTGGTAGTGCAGCCCACTCAGACCAGTAACGACATAGATAGGGCTAGCTAACACATCAGGTTGAGTCGAATTTGTGTTCGTGTTCGAGTTGAAAATTATTGATTAAATAAATTGAAAACACATTCTAATCCAACCTATTTTTTCATTAATTATAAGATAAAATGAAAAATACCACCAACAATTATACCCATTTTTTACAAAACCACCAACAATTTTTATTTTTTTAAATTTACTGCCAACTATTTTTCAAAACCTTAAATATTACCACCTGATTGCCCAATGACGTTATAGTGGGCCCTCGCTCTTCAATCTCCCTCCTTTTCCCTTTTTTTTTTCGATTCTCACCTCTATTATCACCTTTTTAATAACATAATCATGGAATTGATGTTGCATGATTGTTTGGCATGAGTGAGAATGGTGAATTCAAAACCTAATTACTGCACTAATTGCAATTTTTCGCAAATTAAGTGGAGAAAGGGAAGAAGATGGAAGAACTAAGGTGAGAATCGAGAGAAGAGAAGGGGAAAATGAGGGAAATTAAAGAGTAGAGCCCACTATGACGTCACCATAGAGGGGTTAGGAAAGTAGGTGGTAATTTTTAAGGTTTTGAACAGTTGTTGATGGTAAATTAAAAAATAAAATAAAATAAAATAAAATTGTTGGTGGTTTTGTAAAAAATGGGTATAATTGTTCGTGGTATTTTTCAAATTTTCCTTAATTATTTTACCCTTCTAACTAAACTTATTTATCTAATTTTTACAAATGATTACTTAACTTATATTAAAAGTAATCATTTTTTAATAGCTAATTACAAAAATTATTATTCATAATTTGGTTTTTTTTTTTTTTTTAACGTAACTATGCCCTCAGTTCTTTTAATTTTCACATTTTTCAATATTAATTTTTAAGATATTATATGTAGATTAAATGAGTATTGGTAAAATAAATCAGGTTGATTTCAAGATGAAAATATCAACCATAACATAACTCATTTAATCAAATGGGTTAATCTAGTCAACCCATTTTTACAATAAACTGAAAATTGATCCCAATCTTAACATATTATGTTTATTAGGTTAGGTTCAACCTTTCATAATTCTAGAGCTAATAGAGAAAATGAGAAAAAGTTCTAGTTTGCACCTTTTTAACTCCATCTATTATTAATTAATTGATTTTGAGATAGTCCGAGCTTCCTTTATTTAAAAAAAAAAAATTATATTATAATGATTTTGCGAGGAAAACATGTCTAGTTAATTATTTACGTAGTCATTTTATCCTCAACTATTGTCTTAATTTAACCAGATGACCATTTATCATTGATACCATGTTAGATTTCGGGAAAACTCCTCAAGTTAGAGTGTGTACCATTGATCAATATATATAGTGTTACAATACTAGTCCTAATCTTGTTAGGAATCCTAATATGATAAGAATACAAACTATATCAAAATATATACAAAATATATATCTAGCTCTGCGACAAATATTATCTTATAATAATATCTATCAATCATGAATTTTTGATATCACCAATTAACTATTAGTGTAGTGGTGATTGACGCTGCACTTGATAGGGAGAATCGCGTGTTCGATCCCCCATAACAACAATTGGTAAAGGACTGGAACCTAACCACCCAGAATTAGGGGTGAAAGTTCGGTTTTCGGTTTGGTTTATAGGCCAAACCGAAACCGAACCACTCTAATTCGGTTTCTGGATTTTAGAAATCAAACCGCACCACTTTACTTTTGAAACCAAACCATATAAATTTCGGTTTCAAAAGAAAAAACCGAACCAAACCGAATTTTTTGGGCCTTGTTTATTTGGGCTTTAATCTGCAATTTTTGTGGGCTTTAATCTGCAATTTTTGTGGGCTTTAATCATATAAATATCATATTCATCAACGTAGCTGTACTGCAGTAGCATAATGAGATTTAAACAACATTAACAAGTTCTAAAACTTCAAAGTTCTAAAAATTCAACACTTCATCCAAAAAAAAAAAAAAAAAAATTGTTCAACATTACAACTTTAACAATTGAAACCAGTAGCATAACAACAAGCAGCAGGCCAGCAGCAACATCATAACAACAGGTTAGCAGCAGAAGCAAGTCAGCAGCATAGAGCAAGGCAGTAGCAGTAATACAGAAGCAACCCAAGCAGGTCAGCAGCAGCATAGAACAAGGAAGTAGCAAGTCTAGCAACAGCAAGTCAGCAATGAGCAAAGAGCCACATCAGTCTATTATTTCAAGCACTTCATCAATATCAGCATCACCAATTGCCATATTCTTCAAGTCTATCATAATTCATAACAAAAATAACCAAGTTAATTTATATATACATAATGAAAATAAGTAACTTTTGATTAGATGTTCTTATATATTACCCTCTTCAAGAAGCTCAACTTCCTCTAAACATTCTTCAATACTTGGAAATGGTGAAGCACGTAACCAATTTTGAGCACAAACAAGACCTTCTACAACTCGGGGAGTTAATGAGCTCCTAAACTGATCTAGAACCCTGCCCCCAGTGCTGAATGCACTCTCAGACGCTACTGTCGAAACAGGGACAGCAAGAACATCACGGGCAATTCTCCCCACAGTAGGAAACCTTGAACAATTGAACTTCCACCAGCTCAAAATGTCAAATTCATCAATATCCTCCGCCGTATCCTCGTCCAAATATTTGTCTAACTCTATTTTTGCATCTCCATCTCTCACACACTTGTGTTTCTTATACTTACTCTTTAAGACTTCAATCTTCTTATGTTTGGGACTCAATGGAGTTTTGTCATCCTTACTTGAAGACACTTCCTCCCTATTCACATCATTAGCAGAAGAAACATGATACTCCTCATACAAAGCATTCAAAGCTTCCTTCACATTATCAACCAACTTTGATGCAACAATAGGATCATAAATTTCAATTATCATCCACTCAACATAATCAAGCTTATAACGAGGATCAAGGACAATGACAATAAAAATCAGGAGGTTTATTTTTTCTGGATCACCCCAATACTTTTCATATTTTTCTTTCATTCTACAAGCCATAAGACACATATCCATATCATCACTTGAAACCAAATCTTTCATAAGTACAGCAACACTCACCAATTCATAAAACAACAAATTCGAAGTGACATATAAAGAGCTAGAGACATGCAAGGTCAGATCATGAGAGGCTTGTAGAAATTCAGAAAGTCTTCTCACATTATTCCAATCATCAGAATCAGGGCTACCCTTACCATCCCTCTCATTCAAATCAACTACATAGTGAGGGTCTTCCACATAATACCTCTCAAAAGCATCCTCAAGCTCAATAGCAGCATTCAACATCAAATAGGTGGAGTTCCACCTAGTAGGCACATCAAGGCACAATCCCTTTTTTGTGTTGATCTTTTCATCTAAGACACATTTTTTAAACCTTTGCAACCTAGCAGGAGATTGTTTGATAAACCTAACAGCATGCCTAACACGTTGAACCGACTCATTAACAATTTTCAACCCATCAGAAACAACCAAATTGATAATGTGTGTAACACAACACATGTGAAGGAAACGACCCTTAAGAACCCCAGTTTTCCACCCATTTATTTTCCTTACTTCTCATATACCCAATTGCAGTATCATTTTAGCTAGCATTATCAACCGTTATGCACATGACATTTTCAAGCCCCCAATCAAGCAAACACTTTTCAATTTCTTTGCCAATATCATCACCCTTATGACTAGAATTAGGACAAAAATTCAGAATTCTTTTGTGTAATTTCCAATTATTATCAATAAAGTGGCCAGTCAAGCACATGTAATTGATTTGTTGTATAGAGGTCCATGTATCAGTGGTTAAAGAAACTCTTGAATTACACCTTTTTAACACATTTTTCAGCTTTCGTTTTTCAGTTAAATATGTTTCAAAACAATCTTTGGCTACTGTAATTCGAGAATCGAAAGGAACATTAAATCTAGGTTCCATTACACCACAAAAGTGTCTAAAACCTATACCTTCAACAAACTTAAATGGAAGTTCATCAACAATCACCATAAATGACAAAGCTTTTCTAATACTACCAGCGTCAAATTTGTGGTATGTCAACCCACTAGTACCACCACTTGGTACTTTAGCACTTTTGAATGAAAGCATACTTTGTTTTGAATCTTTAGGGGTGTTAAAGGGATACTTACGACATCACGAAATATGAGCCCATAACACACTAGTGCCGTTTTTCTTTGCCCCACACTTGTAGCTCATCCCACAATACTTGCAAATTGCCTGCCTTCCAGAAGGTAAGTCTTCTTTAACAAAGTGCTCCCAAACTTCAGAGCGCTCTTTCATCCTCTTCCTTTTTTCTCCCTGTTCTTTTTTCTGATTTTGAGAGACTAGGTCAGTCTCATGTTGGGATTGAGGCTGGTCAAGAATACCACCAACATTGGTTGCCATTCAGTAATTCGTGGTTGAATAGCAATTTCAAGTACTGTAAGAATACATGCAAACTCATAATTCGTGATTTGTTCCATTAATTCGTCAATTGACTATATAATTCAAAATTTCACGGAAAATTCAGAAAAAAAAAATACCAGAAAATTCAAGGGAACGAACAGATCTGAATGTTTAACTAATTTGTACATGTAATTTGTAATTTTATCATGATTCAAACTCATCTTTAATAGTAATTTTCGTAATTAACAGTTTCACACTAATCATAATTAAAACCCTAAAATAATTCGTGGTTGAATAGCAATTTCCAGTACTGTAAGAATACATGCAAACTCATAATTCGTGATTTGTTTCATTAATTCGTCAATTGACTATATAATTCAAAATTTCACGGAAAATTTAGAAAAATAAATACCAAAAAATTCAAGGGAACGAACAAATCTGAATGTTTAACTAATTTGTACATGTAATTTGTAATTTTATCATGATTCAAACTCACATCTTTAATAGTAATTTTCGTAATTAACAATTTAACACTAATCATAATTAAAACCCTAAAAAATATGAACATCAAGCATAAATGCATAAATCCATAATCGCAATTGATATGCATACCTTTGGACGGTGGAGTGGGTGGACGGTGGAGTGACGCTGGTGAACGGTGGAGAGTGAGAGTGTGAGACTGTGAGTAGGGGTGAGAAAGTGAGATGTGGATCTGAGAACTGAGAAGAGTGAGAACACTGAGAAGGATGAATCGCAAATCACAATAGAAGAGCGTTTTTTTTTTTCTTTTTCTTTATATACTTAGGGTAAATCTGGCTACTGGGCTAGGGGAACTTTGGGCCTAAGTTTCGGTTTTTCGGTTTTTTTTCGATTTTTCATTTCCTCAAACCGAAACCAAATCGAAAACCGAAATTGTTTTTTTAAAAAACCAAACCGAACCACTTTCGAAAAAACCGAACCATATTTCTTATTCGGTTCGGTTTGGTTTTAAACCGAATTTCTTTCACCCCTACCCAGAATTAAGCCCCGAATTCGAATTACCCAAAGGGTGAACTGGGTAAAAAAAAAAAAAAAAAAAATTATATCACCAAGAGAGTATCTATTCTATCTAATGTAAGTTGCTCCAATAAAAATACACACTCGGTATAAGGTACTTTGTTGAAAGAAAAATAGGAAGAATAATGATAAGTGGATTAATTAAAATTTGAAGCTTTTAAAGATATTAATGATCAACTTTAGCTTTAATAAAATGTGACAAGCCAATACGATACTAATAAAAAGAACTCGGTACAATTTTTTTTTTTATTTATAAAAGGAGGTATTGCATTATTCAGTTCACCTGATTTTTATTGACGTGAAATTATTTTTTGATTTTTTACTAATTAAACCAAATTTTTAATAGCGCATAAAGCCTATAATTATTGATTAACACACACGTCCACTAACTGGAACTTATATTTGCTTAAAATCATTTATTTTTACTAGTTCTCTAATGTCTTTTGTTATATGATGATACTAATTTTTGCTAATCAAGGCCTTGTTTCCTTAACCTAATTTCTATCCAACTACTATTGTTTCACTGTTTAAACTGATTTTCAGAAGTGGACCGTTACAAAATTTTTAGAAGTTAATTAAGCAAATGTAACAAAAGCCTTAAGACGTGGATCATTACCAATTTTTATGCAAGGCCTGATCGTGAAGCCTCTTCGAACTCTTCCAAAGTCTTCCGAACCTAAATTATGTTAGAAGCCCATTTTATTTTTCCCATTCAAATCCAGGCCACAATTCCACAAACATATACTCGTACGACTGTACGAGGTAATTTCAATTTTTCATGCACAACATGTTACATTGTTATGGAGTAATTTACTCCCTATTTTCTTTATTTTTTGCCCTATTTGATTTTTCACAGTCTTCAAGACGCAGCTTTAAATGTATATATCTTCATTTCTATACTTGTAAATATTATAAAAATTTGATATTAATAAACTATACAATGAGACGATTCTAGCAAGATCCCACATGAATATATTATCACTTATAGATTAACAAAAATTCATGGTCAAAATTTTAAAAATTTAACCCATATTTTTGCAATGGGGCAAAAATTAAGGGACAAAGGGAGTACTACGAGTAATATTGTAAGACCATGGGGCGAGATGTGGCCTAGAATCTTAGATACACTGTCTTTTGGTTACGCGTTGACAAACAATTATTTTCACTTGACAACATCGACAAAACCCTATTTATAGAGGTAGATGATTCCTTATTAAATTTCAAATACGATGCCCAACAATTTTGACCAACTAAAGTGCTTTACAATTTACATAGTGCTTTATATGCCATACTCCTTTGAGCAAATGAAAGCCAGCCCCTATATGGCTATATGTAATGAACTTTATAGATTATATTTATTATTTTGTAAATGCCAAAGAATAATTACCTATACGAACGGTTCACACAATAAATGCTTGATTTAGGAAAGTGAAGAAGATTCTAATTTATTTTTTTTCTTTTTTTATAAAAAATTCCAAAAATAATTACATTGGATTATTTTTACACAATCAAATCTGTACATTATTCTCAATACTTGATTTTAGGAATGCGATCAAAGTATGTGTCCAAATTTGTTTCCTAATTTTTGCTTAAAAAAATTTATAATTAGTTGGTCCAAATATGCATGTTAAACTGTTATATAAGACGGTTTCTATGTAGCTAGGCATACAAAATACGAAAAGTGCTCTACTGCCAATTAAGGAGAGAAGCAAACAAATTAAACAAGGGGAATCTTACATAACATCAGATGGGGAAGAGGCCGCCACCATCTCTTTCATTGATGACCACTCAAACAAATACAAGTACACCAATAATGTTATTGTGTGAAGATATGATGCTAGAAATCCTGAAAAAACTCCCCCATAAAACCCTAATAAGGTTGTGCACTGTCTCTAGACAGTGGTTTGATATGATCTCGAACCCTAGACGTCCCAATAGTTGCTACTCTTTAAGGCTTAAGTCTTCCCCAACCTTAACCTTTCTTGGCTTCTTCTACTTGCAATTGGCTACCCTTAGTTAATAATCCTAGTAATCCTCTTCCTGTTCTTCCAATAGACGTCCGTACCTTAACAATCGACGCCTCGTCCAACGGCTATCTCTTAGGCCACCATAAACCTAACTATTACTTCCTCACAAATCCTATCACTCAACAAACACTCCACTTGCCCGTGTTAATATCACCACAACCAGGTCTGTTTTCGAACAATTACAATCGTAGTTTGGTTGGCTTTTACTGCCCGGTAGTCGTCGAACCATTAGCATGTGCTCACTTCACTGTTGTAATCGGCCTTATAATTTCTATATCTACAATGGAGGTTCGAACTCTCTCTTCCAATCATCATCATCATCAATCACCTGTATTTCAATGGAGACGTCTCAGACTCGAAGTTATAAATCGGCCCAACCCTACAATAATCAACGTTAAAATGCCAATAAATATTCCATCTTCTTGCCATACCCGACCTGCTGTTGTACATGATGGTGTTCTCTATTGGATAATTAACAGTAGAAATTTGAGCATTATGGTAGCATTTGAACTGAATAGGTTGCGATATTGGGTCATGGATTTGCCAAGTACTGACTACAATAACCTTTATGTCAGTTTTTTTTTTAATAATTTTTATTAATGTATAATTAAACATATTAACAGCACTTTTTATAAAAGATGTTAACAACGTGGCAACGAAAAACGAACCGAGGTTGCTTAATGACATTTATTTTTATAAACTGGTAATATATATATACGTATACAGTGTACTACATATTTTAATTCATATAAGCCTTGGCCTCTTTAAGTTTTAATTCCTGCCTTCGCCCCTGCCTATATGTGAATGCATTTCGGCTCACTAAACTATTTGTGTATGATAATCCTTAAAGAAATGTAAACTTATTTAGTTTATCACGTTTAGAATAGTCGGGTAGATTGAGTCTTGACTCTTGAGACTTCACATCCAAGACTTAAATCAACCTTTCTTTTTGTCGGAAAAAAATCCTAATAAGTTAAGTATTCAAGCGAATTTTAAAATAACTAAATTATCGGCAAAATAAAAAAGTGTTATCTTATTAGCTATAAAAGGGTGAAAATTATTATATACACCTGGTACACCTTGCACCCAAGGTTATTTCTTTTTATTAATTTGATGATTAAATTAACAATAATTATCAAAATGAGCCAAAAAAAAATCTAATTAAGTTAGTGCACCTTGCACTGGGTGTATAAAGTACGGAGTATAATACAATCTCTAATGAAGGGTCACGAGTTAATTTTGACTATTTTTTTTTTTACATGTACAATTTTATTACTTGTAAATGTTAAATGTCTAATAATTAACCATTTAGCCTGATAACAAATTTGTTGCTCACATTTTTAACAGCGAGGATAGCTATAATGGTGAATGCGTGCATGATATCCTTCACTGCAAGAATCTAATCAAGAAGCTGGATTGGGAAGTGGAAGTGAAGCACTTATATCGAGAAGCGAACCAAGCGGCAGATTGGCTAGCCAATCAATGAGCAACATAGAACAACAAATTTGAGTTGATTCCAGTCCCCTCCTTAGCTTTAGGGCGTATTTTACATAATGCTATAGTAGGTGTAGCGATGACATGGTTTGTACCCCTTAGTTAGTTTTTTTTTTAATTATTTTTTGTCTTTCCCGGGGCCTAGCCCCTCGTGTGCACCAAAAAAAGAAAAAAAAAAACCCATTTAGCCTCATTCTCTTCTTTTCTTGTGCTCCATTAGTATAATTTAGCTTGGAAAATTTTCTGTTATTTGTTAAACTTTCTTAGTTGATAATTTAACACTTCGTTGAAAAAAAGTCTTACACAAATTTTATGATTATCTATATTCGACTTCAATTATTAATCTTCCACAAAAACACTTAATTTCTACAATGTTGGATTTAGATACACCCGTACAAATCATGAAATTTAATAATTGCTAAAATTGATTCATGTTCTGACTCTCTCCGTTTTTAAATACTTTGCTCTTTTTCTCCTGGGCACATATATCGATGTAAATCTTTGATCAATTATATCTTTAATTACTAATAAGTATAAATCATAATTAATCAAAAATTAATAATTTATTTATTGAGACGATTCCAACAAATACCCACAAGATTATATTTTTTCTTATGTATAAATTACAAACATTTGTCAAATTAGAATAAATAAATAGTGCAAAAAGTAAAAATGGACCAAATATTTAAAAAGCCGAGGGAATATAATCAAATTTGATTACCGATTTTCCTAGGATTATAACAAAATACGGAATAAATTTCAGCTTTTAAAAAAGACCAGCATGTTATGGTCCACAAGAAAAAAGGAAAAAAATAAATAAATAAAAAGATGAAAATACATTAAAAGCCGAATATTAGTGTATATATTCTCAATTGAACATGGTTTCTATACAAATATGTACATTTCATGTACATTTACCAATTTCCCACCTTTAAAATTTTTTCGGGGGAAAAAAGGGAAATAAAACATTTACTAAGCCATAAAAAATTGATCATTCTAACAAGAAAATTAAACTCTTACGGTGAAATATTTGAATTGCAATGATTCTGATTACGTGCTGGCCAAAAAAATCTTTCACTCCATGAATATGATCTCTTCATTACTCTATTAACCCTTGAAGGAAGTGGCCTTGATGAAGAACCACCCACCAATGCATACGAGTTCGAGTTCGAGTTCGAGTTTTGTTGCGTATATGGAGTACTCACATGTCTATAATCCATAGAGTATGATCTCCTTACAACTAATGCTATAGGATGAATATCACTTTCAGCTTTACTTTGATCAATTTCAATCTCAACTTCAAAATCCCCTGTTTCTCCTCTGTTTTCTACCACCAAACTAACTTCATTGTTCCCATTTTGGGTGATCACTAACTCTCCATCACTAGATTCTGTATCAGCCATTTGTGGGATCTCGATACGCCTCGAGGTCCCGAAACCAGGCTCGTTTGAAGCCGAACCCGGCCTATCGGGGTTGGCTACTATACTTGCCCGGCACATAGGACAGTTGGTATGTGACCTAAGCCAAGTATCAATACAATCAATATGAAATGCATGTTCACATTTTGGTAAAAGTCTAAGAGTTTCACCTTCTTGAAACTCACTTAGACAAACTGAACAATCTGTACCATCGATTAAGCCATCCTCTTTCTTGTACCGAATCACGGTTATCGAGTTGATCACTGATTGGTGCAATCCAACAGTTGAGATTAACCATATAGGGTGATCTACCATTGGGTTAAATTGACCGGTTGTGACGTCGATGGCTCGATCCTCGGGTACATGATGAGGGTCACGGAATTGATTAGACTCATTTGGTACATGTCTATTGTTACCCCTTCTGGACACTAAGCGAGTCCAGAAGGTACAATATTTTATAACAATAGCATAGTAAGAAACCAATAGAAAGGCACCGGCTAAAATAATAATGATTATAATCACAAGGGGTGATAAGTGGAAATCATCATGGGTGTTCGACGATGGGGTTGCCACAATCGTAGTCGTAGAGGGTAGTGGTGGTGGAAGAGGAGGGAACGAGTCGGGTCCGGTTGGGAAGGAGTAACATTCATCAAAATCACCACATGTAGGATCACATAAATCAGTGCAAGGAATAGTAGTTGTGACATTTGTAGTATAAGTTAGATAATGTAAGAGTTTTCGAAATCGAATGGCCATAATTAGGAGACCATTGATGAGAAAAAAGAGGGAAGAAAAAACTAAGATTAGGAATAGGAAGGATAGATAAAAGGCTGAGTATAGTTTAAGGCTTCTCCTAAGGGAAAGGGAGAGGAAAAGAAGGGTTTGTTTAACACGTTTTAGAAGGTAGATGTGATTGGAAACAATTTCATTTTCAAATATTAGGTGTGGTAAGACACTACTATAACTTTGACGTGCAAGTGTATATGCCACTTTTTTATGGTTTATTAATATTAGTTCAACTCATTACCTATGACTTTCTAGGTTATAGATACATATATACATTATATAACATTATCTTATAGCTTGTCTACTCACTCATAGATTCAAGAATAATTTTGGCTATATAAATTTGTGGGCAAAGATTGGAAATAGGGGAGGCAAATTCAATTAATTGGTTGTTTAGAATGAATCTGATTTTAGGTAGAGCAAATACAAAAGATCGCTTGGGTGGTTTTAAGAAAACAATCAACAACACATGAAGAATTAATTTTGCGTGGTGCCCTTACTAGAATTTTTGGTTTTTTTGAAACGACTACTGATCAAGTTGACACAAGACACTATGGCCAATAGTTTCTAGTAATCTAGTTAGCAATCTCAACATCACTATATCATATATTTCGTATAAATAGTACCACCATGCTAAACCTAAGTTATAGTATGTTTTTTTTTTTTACTTATTATTATTATTATTATTATTATTATTATTATTATTATTATTATTATTATTTGTAAGGAATAGTCTGTGTACCATTTTATTATCACTAAATCTATACCAAGTTATCTGACAAAATTCTAACTTAAGATCGACAAATTTACAAGATGAGCATTAGTTCGGCAATTAAATTAATGATAACATCCCACCTCCATTTCACCAATGCACCATAGTCGACCCTACTACGTTACATACTGAATACTGATTGATGCTTATTTTAACAGCTGATTTTTTTTGTTTCTTAGCCTATATATGACTAATCTTAAGGGAACTCTGATTTCTGCATGCTTGTAAGAAATTAACAATGAAATTTGGTTATATGTCCTTGTCATATTCTTGATCTCACAAAAGATAATTTTTAATTTCCAAAAGTGTTATGGTTGTTGAGAAATATGTTAGTATGGTGCCTAATTAGATTGTAGAAATGAGGTTGCCCGTCATGTTCATTATTAAGAGAAGTAATTACCAAGCGATTACCACACTTGCCTATAATCTTGGCGTAGCTTAATCACAATTCCAGCACCTAATTGTTCATATCTCTTGGTGAATCTACATATATATATATATATATATATATATATATATATATATATATATATATATATATGCGCAGACAAGATAACTTAGATATGACATCTCATTTATTTTTTCAAATATTTTATTTTATTAATTATAGTGTTTTTTTTTTTTTTTTTTTTTGAAGATAGTGTTTTTTTAAGTTAATAAATTATTGGATTTCAATGATCTAATGATAAATAATAATCAACAGTAAACTGATACATAGTGTGAGGAATTGAGGATCACAAAAAAAAAAAGAGAAAAATATATTATAAGATGAGACTAAGGGCCCGTTCTGTTCACCTTATTTTCACTTATTTCAGGTCTAATAAATTCACTTAAATTAATATAGTACAAATAAGTTAAGTTCAAGAATAATAGGTTAAGATAAGTTCAGTTCAAGTAAAATAAATCCTGATAAGGGTTACTCAAGTTCAAATTACTACTAAAATAAATTTTAATAAGTTCAAATAAGTTAAGTTAAGTTCAGGTAAGTTCAGATAAGTGAAAATCGGGTAAATAAAATACACCATAAAAGAAATTTAGCTATGAGCCTATGACAAACTAGATACTTCATATTAAAGAGAAATGGACATGTTTAAAGTGGTATATATGAAAAACAAAATGAGCTAATAAGGAGGAAAGATAAGCCTACCAACAATATGTATTTCAAATCAATTGAAAATAGCAGTAACCCAAATCGACCAAAGTATTTAGCTGGGTAGAAACTTGTGTTTCATATTAATAATGTCATAATCTAATTCGTACACTTTAAAGCATGATGATCACAAAAGAACAAACAATTCATAATAACCTAAAGGAATGTACATGTCATAGTAGAATATCACATAGTGAAAGAGCATATACTTCAAAAAAAAAACTTAGAACGAACATGAAAATGGAATATGCTTGATTAATTTTAACAATATATTTCTTTATTGTGAATTGTATGTATTTTTGTGAGTTCATCTTACTTACCCCGTCTATGGTTTATTTTTTGTGAAAATTTAATCATTCAATATCGTATTTGGTTTGAGTGGTTTGAGTCAATTCAATTCAGTGATTTATTCAAAACAAGTGACTAATTATTCAAAACGAATGACTAATTATTCGATTATTTTTTTAAATTTTCAAGTTAATTCAATCGAGGTGATATTCACTTCTATTAAATGATTATTTAAAATGGATTGCCAGTCAATATTACATAGTCATAATTTTCTCAAAAAAAAATAAAAATAAAAAAAAAATAAAATCACGTAGTCATAAAGATTTGGGGATAGATTTTTGATTGGTTTGGGCAGATAAAAGTGGGCTATCTTTTTTGGATTTTGGGTAGTTTAGAATTTTAGATATTTGCTGCAACACCACGGAAAACAATTACCCTGTAATGCAATAGGCCCACATCCTATTACGAAAATACCCTGCCCAATTCTACGACCCAACCTGAATATCTTTACAAATGGCCTAAAAACGAGCCAGCAAAGTGCAAACAAAACCCCAATGAAGATCTTTCCTGTCCAGCACATCATTACAAATTTCAAGTTTTCTACCCATCACTTGGATTTTTTTATGGTTTTTATTTGGTGTTTAAAGAGGCACAAAAACAGGTGATAAAAATTAATTTAAAAATCCGCAGAACCTGAAAGGAAAATTCTAACTAACATAGCAATTTTTCACTCTCACTTGGATTCTTTACATGATGTGGTTGATTGATGGGTTGAGTCATATTGGGCGGGTTTATCTTGGTAGGGTTATTTTGCATAAATGATTTCTTTACTTACTAAATTATTAAATACGAAGTATAATTATTTACTCGTAAGACTCTTAAGTCGTAACAATGGGTCACAATATCTTTGAAGTTTATATAAATTTAGGTTGGTCAGTCGGTATGAGAAATTGGTATAAGATCACTTGCTTACAATAGCTCACAATAGTGGTTTAGATGATGATAATAAGATGACCTTAAACATATATTTTAATTTTTACTCCCTCTTTTTTTTAATAAGCTAGAGTTGGATTTGGTTTGGAATCACTAGCCATATGCCCATATGTACTAATATGGGATATTAGAATCATCAAAATTCTTAAATAAAAATGAACCATCTATGACATATTACTAGAAGCGAATCTAAGTGACACTTGGCAATTTATTATTAAAAAATTTCCCGTCAAAATTACTTTCTAAAAAAAATAATTGTTACATAAAAATAAGGTTTGCATCTAGATCCCTCAAAAAAAAAAAAAAAAAAAAGGTTTGCTTCTAGATTATGACTTTTATTTTATATAAAATCTAAAGTAAACTCCCTAAAATATCAACTTGTACATTATATAACTAATACATATTTAAATATTTTCTCTCTCAAATGTATTTATTGTTTTAATACGAAGTATATTTTGCCATTCGTTTTAATACCTGGTTAATCGATTCATTATTTTATATATAATTATATTTTTATTATAAGTATTCAACAATCGTGCATTGCACAAGGTTTAACCTAGTTATATTTAAATTCTAAAATATATTGTAATCACTTAAATCGAGTGACGGAGAAAAGATGAATTGAAGGATCAAATACAGTGATTTAAAAGCCAAAAGGGCATTTTTGTAAAATCATGGTATATTAGGTGGAATATCTATCTGAAAATTGATTTTGGCATACCCTTAATTGATTTTGGCACACCCTTATGTGAGAAGAGCATAGAAAACTGTGTTCTCACATAGAGGTGTGCCAAAATCAATTTTGGTGTGCCAAAATCATTTTCCTATCTATCTCTCTTAGAGATTTTGATCACAATTTACTCCTACCTACATGGTTTTAGAGCTTTCACTATATACTAATGGGTACCATTTTCACAAAACCCTATGTATAGTTACTCTATGATTAACGAAATAATTTATGAACAAGTATAAATTTTAGTTTCCCACCAAGCTAGCGCAAATGTACAATATGCAATATTTAATGAGAATGGATAGGTATAAAAATCTTTTGTTCTACTCCGTACTTTTTATGTTTCAATATATGTGCCAGCCATTCTTATTTATTCATTTTATTAAGCTCCAACCACCTATTTGATATTTAATTAAATAATTGAACATTAATATAAGATGAGTGGCATATATACATGAAGTACAATTAAAGAGGGACTTTTAAGCATTACTAAACTCATTCGTATAATCGTACACATACATTTTGGTTCCTTTCTACAATCTTTATTATGTTTGAAAATTTTTGTTTATCAATGGCACAAAAGTCAATTACGTCATTACATGGATACTCACAAGGTGCAACATTAAAAAGCCTCATCTTATGATAATGGGTTTTAATATTTTGCACTATAGCTACCAAGCTAAGTTTGATCCAATAGTAAGTATTACACTATTTAATCTTGAAGAGTTTATGGGTTTTCAATATCTATTACGTTACTCTAGTAGTAGTGCTTTAAATAAAGGTGGTGGTTCCTTACCCTTCCATATATATCACTCTCAAAGTTTCTAGTCTACTAATATGGACCGGTCAAGTTCGTGCGGGATTTTGACCTAGTAGGACAGTTCTTATTATGGAGTACTTGAATAAAACAAGTACACTACATTCTAACTAAAGTTTTTGTTTTACAAGATAAGTTTCATTGTACTCCGATTCATCTGTCCACAAATAATTTTATGATCAGGTTTAGACATGCATATTAAGTAGAATTGGGTAGAGTTTTGGTAGGTAGTAAAAAATAAGGAATTATAAAATCGATTTAGACTTTGTTTGATTAGTTGATATCGTCTACCTTTTTTACCTTTTTTAAAAAAAAAATAAAAAAAAAAAAAAATAACATCAGACTAGGATGATATAATGTTTTAATGTTCCAAAAACCAATCGAAGTCACTGATTTAATAACAAACCGATGAAAAGCTAGTTGGCTGGAGAGTACAGTGGGGGACGGCCGTTTTGATTATACAGCTCTTATCAGATAATGAATGTATGATACATATTTAATTGATCATTAATACTTTAATTACACGTTTTTAATTATGAATAATATAGCCTCACGCATAAGACTTCCTTAAACTGGATTTATCTCCTCAAAAGTGTAATTATAAATTCAACCCAAAATCTTGATTATTTCAAACAATTCCTAAGTAAAGTTTGTAAACTGGATTTATCTCCTCAAAAGTGTAATTATAAATTCTCTTGGGGGTTTTGTTAAGTATGTTTTTCATCATCTTTCGTTTGTTTCCTAATAATAATAATTGATAACTCCATTTCAAAGATGAGCAAATTCATCCATTCTGATCTGTGTGTTTTTTAACGGCAATTAATGCTTATAAACAAGGATAAGTCTAAGAATCTAGTATTTTTTTTTACTAAAACCATAAGTACATACCTTGTTTCTTACATATTTTTGGGTATGTAACAATTAATCCACAACAGAAAAGTTAAAGGCCAAATAGCAGACGCTACCAAAGCATTTTTGCAATCACTATTGAGGTTCGTATGGAACAAGTGGGGGCCAATGCTCATAAACATATTGCTGAAAAGTAAGTCTTTTTTTTTTTTTTTAATTATATATTTATATTGTCATGTTCATTAGTGTACGTAATTATTTTAACGGACATATGAATTTGAAATAGACAACTATTTATATGTGTGTATTAATTAATGAATCTAATGTGTTAATATTTTATGTGGGTGAGTGCAGTTAAAAGAGATCAAGAGTTACAGATGGTAGAAAATGTGTCCGAGGGATTAGAAAAGATGACTGACAGGGTGGAACACATGGCCGAAGACATTGTCACGGGGAAGGAATTTAAAAAGACGGTAGACGGGGTGGAACACATGGCCGAGGATGTTGTCACGGGGAAAGGGTTGAAAACGATAACAGATGGGGTGGAACACATGGCTGAAGATATTGTCGTCGAGGCGGAGGGATTAGAAAAGATGGCAGATAAGGTGGAACACAAGGCTGAGGATGTTGTCAAGAATTTTACAGGAAGATCATTTAAAGGGGCTGCTAATTTCATAGAAAATGCAGCTGAGAAGGTAGCCATTGACAAGGATTTCTTCCATTTATAGTTTTATTATTTATATAGATAGTAACACGCTTCCAAACAACTGCATGTTATGAATCTTTTTATGCCTTACAAATGAGTAGTATTTAAAACCAGTAAATCTCTGTTACTCACTGTGAGAAACGTTTTTGTTTCTCACAGTGGCAGTTTCGTAAATAAAATGTACCACCGTGACTAAAGTGGTACAATTTTATCATCCATTTCGTAAATAAAATGTACCATCGTGACTAAAGTGGTACATTTTATTTACGAAACTGCCACTGTGAGAAACAAAAACGTTTCTCACAGTGAGTAATGGGGGCGCCCTCATTTAAAACACAACTAGACTATGAAACCAAATTTATGATCTAGTTTTTAGTACTATTTACTCCTCATGTTCCTTTTTTATTATGTTCACCAAAAAAAAAAGAAAAAAAATGTTCCTTTTATTATGCTATAATTTCTGTTTGAATTAATTTTTTTTTAATTTTTTTTTTTTTTTTTTTTTTTTATAATTTGATGTTTAGATTCGATAAGAGAAAAAAAATACAAGGATATCAACTTTCTACAAGTATAAATTAAATTTCAACTCAAAAGGTTGAGGGGTATCATTTGAAAAAAAAAAAAAAATACATGTATAATCTCTTCATCCGAAATTAATAATTGCATATGTATTTGGACAACGTGCTAATTACTTCAAACACAAATCAAGTACTATACATATATTGTTTGCTTTTACAATTAGAATTTAGGACTATGAATGTAATATATATATTGATTTTTAAAATGGGAAGGATGATAGAAAGTTTTTTTTTTGTTTTTTTTTTTTGTTACTAACTAAATTTGCATATACTTATATTTATCTACTACAGAGTAAAAAATAATTATGGAGTACATGATTTATACACATAATATTTTAAAATTCTGTTACAAAATATTGATTGTAACTTTTAGGGATTAATTTTCGGCTTTTAAAAAAAAAAAAAAAAAAAAAAAAAACCAAAAAGTTTCACTCATTGACATATTTAAACTATGTTCCAATTAAAACCATTGAAATATACTCTGTACTTGTTTATATAATTAAATTGATATGAACTTCTTGGCAAAAAAATAAATAAAAAAATGATATGAACTTGATCACTAATTATATTATACTATTACATGTTAGCCATTATTAATTTGGAAAAGTTCACTATTCCTTTTAACAATTTTCATATTTTAAAATTTCCCTTATTATATTATATGGATTACATTCTTATTTCAAAAAAAAAAAAAAAAAAAAAAAAAAAGATGTAATAATTTTGCTATATATTCATGCAGATTAAAGATATAGAAGATGAAGCAAGCAAAAAATTGAAGAAAACAAAAATAATGCAAAGTGTTGGGAAACATTTTTTTCTTGCCCTGTATCTCCTTTTTTTCAAATTTTAAAGAGTAAATTTATAGATTTTAACTAATAAACATATACCCCTCCGTTTTATTTTTATCTTCCTACATTCCATTTTGATATGTTTATTTTTATTTTCTTACTTTTGCTTTATAACTTTTATGATAAAAATAATAACTCACTTTATACCTTCTAATCGACCATATATCCACAGTTTATTATTTAATAATGTATACTCCATAAACCATGAGAGTTGAGTTCTGCCTAAAGAGGAAACTCAATATTCTGTATATGACTACAAACCAAAAATAAATAATATCTCAAAGAGATCCTTGACAAAAAGACAAGCATTCCTAATATTTTAAAACTAATAAGAACAAGCAATAAGTCGATAATTACTGATTTACCGTACACTATATATTTCTAACGTACATTGTTTATACTCCGTATATACACAAATCGCATATTCAATATATATTTAACAAGGGTTGAGCACAAATTGTATATCCGATACAAAATCACTTACAAATTGAATATCCAATATTTGAAATTGCCTTGGCTAGGTCTAGGCAGTGATGCATGGGCGAGTTGCTTTGGCAATTGGCAAGGAATTAGGGCCTTTGCTCGGGTGAGCCTTGGTTAATCTAAAAAGCGCGCAAGGTGGTGCTAGCATTAAGAGTTTGGGACATTTGTGCTCTAACAACCAATGTTGAAGTGTAAACTTCCCAAACAACATATGTAAGTGTTGCACATTGAGAAAAGAAGAGAGAGTAACACTACAAGAAATAAGCTATTTCGTGACAACCAAAATTTGTCGCAAAAAATAGCAAAAACTGTCGCAAAAAATAGTTGCGATAGTCAACTGTTGTAATAAGTTTGTCGTAGTCAGAATCGTCGTAAAATTTCATTTTTGCGACAGTTTGGCTGCTGTAAAGAATTATTACGACGGTTTTACTAATTTCAACGACTGTTTTTTATTTTTTCGCTGTAACTATTTTACGACAGTTTTAAACCGTCGTAAGTTACGACAGAAATAAAAAACTGTCGTATAAGATAGTTTTACCGACGGCTGTCAGTCGCAAATAGCCGTCGCAAAAAATAAAAAACTGTCATAAAAGATAGTTTTACCGACGGCTGTCAGTCGCAAATAGCCGTCGCGAAAAATAAAAATAAATAATAAACGCCCTTACCCAGCCCCCTACCCCCACAGCAACCTTTCGCACTACCAACAACTACCCCTTCCTACCACCACCCACCACCGACAGCTCTCCCTTCCCACCACCACCTTGCACAAAAATACATTAAGATCTATAGATTAAACCCTAACAAACAGACCTCAAACAAAAAAAACCCAACATATAACAAACAAAGATAAATAAAAACAACAAATCATCAAACAAGGTCGGTCAATTGCATTAAGTAGGGGATGCAGGACCTGTCTTAACAAGAAATACAAATATACATCAAATAATAAAAAAAATTCACAAAAAAAGCGAACAAAAAATGAAAGAAAAAACAAAGATTATCGAAACAATACAAAATTCGAACAATAAGGCCACAATAAATCAAAAGAAAATAAACGAAATATAACGAAAATAAACGAAAATCAACACGAAAATAGACGAAAAAAAAAAAACACAAACGAAAAAAAAGGCAATACAAGCAAAAAAATAATGAATTTAGACCAAAAATATCAGAATGTAAACAAAAAACACAATAACAAAAACGAAAAATACAAAAAATTTAACATACCTTCGAAAATTTCCACTTCTTTGGGTGTTGATTGTCAAATTCGACCATAAAAACTCCAGATCTGGAATTTTAATGGTCGAATTTGACAAAAAAAAAAAAACCTCAACGTCAAGAAATTGAACCTCAAATACACAAATTTCGCTTCGCCACCTTCGCCATTATTTTAACACAAGAAAGAGCAGAAAGGACTGAGGATGAGAAAGAGAGGAAAGGAGGATGAGAAACAGAGAGGAGACAGAAAAAGAGAGGAGGAGAAGAGGGGAGATAATCCAAGAAAGAGAGAGGAGAGAGAAACTGAGAGAGGAGATGAAACGAGAAAGAGAGAGGAGAAATGAAACGATGGAAATATCAGGGTTTGGTGTGGGCTTGTTGGGTATTTAAATACCCGTAATTTTTAAAAAAAAAAAATCAACTCTACGACGGCCATAAACTGTCGCAAATTACGATGGTTTTCAAAACGGTCGTAATTTACGATAGTTTATAACTGTCGTAAATATTAATTTTTTTTAATTATTTTTACTATCTATTGCGACAGTTTTATTGGCCAAAAACCATCGTAAATCAACGACAGTTTAAAAAAACCGTCGTAATATTACGACAGCTACTAAAACTGTCGTAAAATTAAAAAAAATTACGACAATTTTGCTAGCTGTCGTAGAAAATATGTCGTTATTTGCCCGGATTTTAGTAGTGTAAACATTTTATAAGACTAACGGACTACTCCTTTTATTAGCATATGATTTTGAGATGAAATCTCCTTGGACTTGTGAAGTGGACTCTCTCTCTTATTGCGGGTGCGACCAGACTCGTATCTAATAAGCATGCGTATTTGTCAAAGTGTGTGTATATATCGTACATATACGTTTTAAAATTCTTCCAATAATAGGCCAGGCTTCAGATCAATATACAATTTTACATCATCATGTTCTACCTATCTCCCCTTTTTTTAAGAAGTATACATTTCGTAATATAGTATTGTTTCACTGTCTACTGTACGTAATATGCAAAGTCTTTGCATGAATAAATAATTGACCATTAATTCTTTGCACGTTACTCCTTACTAAAATAGTCTTAAACCTGATCACCTGCATTTCCTTAATCTAGATTTTATCTGCTCAAAATAAAGGTTATTTATATTTAAAAGCTCATCTCAAACTACTCCTAATTTCAAATTAATCATATAATACAAAGCACGCACAAAATACAAAAATATCCATGAATATGAGCTTATTCGTTTCAACAAAGCCATCAACTTGCATTAATTTTCATAATATTAGTTTAAACTCAAACAGCAGGCAATCTTCTTTGGGTTCAAAATCAAGATTTCATCATAATCTTAGCTCCTTGAGACCAAGTCAAAGGTATGTGTTTAATAGTTAATTCATGATTATTGAGCTTAATTATAGTCTTGATTGATAGAATATATTTCTAATTATTTGGTTTGTGTTTGATTATGATTTTTATGCACGAAGGCAGCGTTCGTTAACTGTTAGAAGCAGCATCGACCAGTTCCGCCACCAACCCCTTCAAGTCCCACGCCTGCTGGATTTCCTGGGTACGACTTTTTATCTTACTCAATTTAATTTCATGATAACCCCGTCTCAAAGATAAGGTGCTCTTAGAGTAATCTATTCTATCGTATTAGAATGGATCGTCGAGATGAATGTATCATCCCCAATAACTCAATCATTAGGGTATATATATAATATATTACTTGATCTTACAAGTCTTAAGGAAAACTATCGGCTAAAATTGTTTAAAAAAAAGAAAAAAAAAATTATATTAAGAAACAGTTTAAGTTTTCACACATATAGATGCACTAGTTTGACCTTATTTTTATATAGTTAAGTATTAAAAAAAAAAATTGTTAACATAAATTATATTGTGAAACCTTATTATATTAATACCTAACTAACAATATATTTCACGACTAAATATATTTTTATTACGTTATTAATAAAAAAAAACTATAATCAAAGTTAACATACTTGTATAAATAGTGAAAAAAAAGTTTAACATATCAGTTATTTTTGGGACGGAGGGATTTTTATATGATTACACTTGTTTACTTGACATGTTTTACGGGTGCGTGACAATTAATCCACAGCAGGAAAGGATGGATAGCAGGAGCAGTCCTAGCATTTTTGCTATCAGTCTTGAAGGGCAAATGGGGGCCTTTGTTCTTATTAAGAAGTAACTATTATTTTGTTAATTGCTATATAAAATACTCGTTATGTCCGGAATTAATTATAATATTGATAACGTGAGGACTGAATGTAAAAATAAAAACGCGATTGCAGAGGAAGTTGACCAGAAATTACAGACGGTAGAAGATGTGGCGGAGGGATTGGAAAAGTTGGCAGATAAGGTGGAGCACATGGCTGAGGACATTGGCGAGAAACTTCCAGAAGGATCATCACTTAAAAGGGTAGCCACTTTAATTGAGGATGCTTCTGAAAAGGTGGAATTAGCTGCTCATCTAACTGATACAGCCATTGACAAGGTGTTTATTTCTAAACTGTCCATCCTTATTTATTTCTATGATTTATTTGTCTTTTCTTGTGTAATATGTTATACATTTATATTTACTTAAGGTTAAATAACAATAACAATAACACAACTTGTGATGAATGTGACAGAAAATATGGAGTAACATATACTTCATAGCTCATAATAATATTATAATAAGTCAATTATTTAATAAGCAATGACATACAAGTAATTGATTGTGGTGGTGGACTAAGTCGACTAACCACTTCAAGTATGATGTCAACTACACCTAAATTAAGGGTACACTTAATTCCATCACACTAGAGGTGTTAACTTATCAACTTGCTTAGTGTATCTCAATTTTGAGATTATTTTGATTTAACCGGAGTTATTTGAACACATTTCAATTGTAAATTGAACTTAAATGTACTTATTTTTAACTCTAATTTGAACTGATCTTTCTAATTCAAAAGTGAACTGAATGAGACTTAAGTACTTCATGGAGTATTAATTATTAGAGCTTATCAACATTTTAAAAGCTCTGCATTTCTATGGTAATCATCCTTAAAATGACTATCATTATACTAATTTTTATTGGCTGATTTTGATTTTTTTTTTAACGTCAAAGTTCATTTATTAATTTTGAGATAATTTTTGAATTTTTTTTATAATTTTCCTAATTAAGTTATGAAATATGATTTGGGTAAACCCCCTCCCCAGCCACGTGGCCCAATAAAAAGCTGACATGTGGCCCAATAAGAGGTTGACACGTGGCAGTCTAGGAGAGGTCCAAACATGACCAACCACCAGCTGACACGTGCCCTTCCTAATTAGAGGGGAAAAAGGCGGCCTTCAGGGTCCAATTCCCGAGAAAATTGCATAGCGGCGCAGCCCACCAATTTAGGTCAAAATGACCTAAGGGCACATTTAACAATGACCCTATAAATAGGGAGATTTACCCCATTTTGGGGACATGTTCATTTATTACAACACAATTAATTCTCTCACATTAGATAAAACACCTGATCTCGGGATCCGAGAAGATCTACTTTTACTTTCCGCACATTTTACCTTACTTCGACCGGTTCTAACTTGATCGTCGAAGGCAGAATTCCTACCAACAGGAGCTTCCGTTGTTTTGTAGGTACAGCCGGCAGGGAATCCAGTCTTGGTGACGTAACTCTCCCATAGGACACAAAAAACCCCGAAACATTTGGCGCCGTCTGTGGGGAGGGTACCTCTAAGATGGTTTCTCAAGAGACTGTACTACCTCCTATAGAAAAGCAGCCTACGACTGAGGTCTTTTCAGACCATGATACGGATGAAGATCTAGAGGTCGAAACATATACGGCCGCAAATGGATCCCTCATTACCAGGCGGATCCTCCTAATAACAAAAAAACCTGACTTGAATTCCAAAGACAACAAGGATTGGGGCGATGGTCAGGCAGGTCCGAGTAAGTCCTCCGGCCAACCCTAGGCGGCAGGACAGTCTGCTCACATCACTCAAGTGAGTTCATGAAATTTATGACAAGTTTCAAGGGAAAGATGAAGGACCTAATCTCCAAGAGGACGGCTAGTCCCAGCAAGGGTAAGTCGGCCAAGAAGCCTTCTCGCTCTGAGAAGGCTAAGTCGATCAAGGATAAGGAGCCCACTCCACACCCAAAAGCAAAGAAGGGGACCCGGCCTTTGATTGATTGGACCAAGTTCAACTTCCCCGAGCCGGGGAAGAGGAAGGCCATCCGGCATACACTACCGGATGGCAGCAAGAGGACTATCTCTGATGCTTGACTTATTATTGAGGAAAGGAGAAACCAGCAACTGTCTGACTCGGCTTCAACGTCGACTTTCCCAGACAGCTTCAAGAATACCTCGATGAGGTATTTTTAATCTGCATAGGAGAGCCTGTCAGGTGGCTCGTTTGTCCATACAGGTCCTCATATGATAGGGCCAGTCCCGTATGTGCCCCAACAGCCATACAGGCCGTTTTCCCAGCCTTACCTGTAGCCTGCTCTCTTCGGGGGTCACGTGGCATATAACGTCCAGCCACTGGACTGGCAACTCCGTCTGCTAAAACTTGGAGAACAACCTTCTACGTTCTCCAAGGAGATAACCGAGGCGGCACAGTCGGCCAAGGTTAAGAATGTCATGGTGGGTACTTATGATGGTACCACCAACCCAAAAGACCACCTGTTGGCATACACCCACCTCATGTACTTATAATAGGGGTTGGATGATGCCGCATGGTGTAGGTGTTTCCCAGCCACGCTGAAGGGCATTGCCTAGCAGTGGTTCGGCAATTTACCGGCTGGGTGCATCAACAATTTTATGACGCTTGCGTTCTTGTTTGCCTCAAACTTCTCCATGAACATACCCGCCAAAAAGACAACCTTTGACTTGGGCGCGGTACAACAGGGAGACAGGGAGGGGCTTCGTTCATACGTCAGGTAGTTCAATCTGGTGAGAATCCAGATCCAAGGACTGTCTGACGATGTTGCTTACACAGACTTCTTCAAGGGTCTGAAAGACGGGTCAGCTTTCAAGTTTGACTTCGTCCGGAAAAGAATCTCAACTCTTCAAGAAGCGCTGATGGAGGCAAAAGCCTATATACAGGCGACCGAGCTCTGCTCCACCAGCAAGCAGTCGGACTCAAAGAAGTCTGATAAACAAAAAGGGAGTCAGCAAGAACTAGGGGTGTTCAGATCCAGCTACCCCGGATATTCGGGTACTCGAAAATCCGGGTACCCAGAATTTCGGGTAGTTGATAAGTCGGCCCGTGTCCCGTCCCGGATAATTCGGGTACCCGAATACCCGAATTTTATTTATTTATTTTTTAAAATAAGTTTGTACCTGAAACCTAGTTTATATCTTATTTCAAGTTATAAATCTTCCATTTACCACAATGCTAAGATTTGTGAGAATCAATTAGGACTTAGGATAGCTTAATTGCTTGTTACGTCCAGTGCTTTCTATTTGTTTATTTTTTATTTTATTTTCAAGTTATGTATTTTGGTAAAGCAAGTTCTCTATAAGCATGCTAACTTGTCGTTGTTAGCTTTGGTATATCAGTATCCGATGTACTTCCTGCTCCAAGAAAATCCAGAAGTTGACTAAGCTTCTTCTCCCAAACTGCATTGTTCTTTGCAATTTTTCTGTCCACGTCATTCTTAACAGCTTCCGCCTCTTTTTTGGCTTGTTCAGCTTCTAATTTAGCTTATTCTGCTTCTGTTCTAGCATTTTCAACATATTTTCTTGCATCTTCAATTGCTTGATTTGCTTTTTTTTTTAACGGGTATCCGGGTACCCGAGGTTAGCAAAGCCTGTCCCATGTCCTGACCCACGAAACTGCTATTTTAGCGGGACGGGTACCCGACCCGAAAAAACAAAAAAAATTGTCAATTTCCCATCGGGTTTTTTGCGGGTCATCGGGTAATCGAGACGGGACAACCGGGTCGGGTTTTTTTTAACACCCCTAGCAAGAACAGCCGGCTCAGAAAACTGAAGAGAGCAAGAAGAGAAAAGAGATCTGGGCGGTTAACGATTCAGTCGTCTTAGAAGAAAAAAAAAAGTTTAAACCGTACGTTCCAAGGTACGAGTTTAACAAGGACTGCTACTCCATTCTCATGGAGATAAAAGACCGGGTGACTATTAAGAAGCCCGCAGCCATGAAGGGTTCCGTCAAAAATCGGATCAAAGACAAGTACTGCCATTTCCATGAGGATATTGGCCATAACACCAATGACTGCTACAGCCTCAAGCGGTTATTAGACTGATTGGCTGATAAGGGGGTGTTAACGTCTTACATCCTCAACTCCAAGGTGACCCTCAAGACGGACCCCAGACAGCCGTCAAAAAAGCCAGCAAAGCCTACCAGTAGTTCGGACACAGATAAAGAGCCGATCTACACCATAACAGGCGGCTTTCCTGGTGAGGGCCAAACTATTAGAGGCACCAAGGAACATATCAGTCGGTTGGATGTCAGCTCGGTCAATGAGGACCAAGCGTCTGCCGACACTTTTCCTAAGGTCATCATCTCTGAGAAGGACCGGGGCGAAGTCCGTCGACCGCATGATGACCCTATTGTCATCGAATGCAAGGTAGCCAACCAAAGGGTTGGCCGGATCCTCATTGATACCGTTAGCTCGTCTGACATCATCAGCTGGAAGTGTCTGTCCAAGCTGAAGTATAAGACAGGCAACATGCACAAGGTCACTCACCCCCTGGTTGGTTTTGGGGGAATAGTTGTACACCCAGTCGGCTAAATAGATTTACCCATCCGGCTAGGAGAGAAGAGTGAGGGGCGCCACATGGTCGTCCGGTTCTTGGTCGTTGAAGAGTTGACCGCCTATAATCTCATTTTGGGTCGTCCGACTCTGAACAAATCCATGGCTGTCATTATCCCATCCCTCATGCTGCTGAAGTTTGAAAGTGATGACGGTTTTGTTAGCTCCCTGAATGGAGATCAGAAGACGGCCCGAGAGTGTTATCTCTTAGACGTCAAGCCCACGAAGGCAACAGTCGGCCGGGATAAGGAGCCAATAGACCTTGACAATGTCAAGGAACTAAAGCTTTCCCCACCAGCAGTCGGCAAGAAAAGAAAGGTCGACCAGCTGGTCACTGTCAAAAAAGAAAAGAAGTTGTAGAACGCCAGGTTCATTCGACAATGTCACTTCCCAGACTAGATTGCGAATGTTGTTCTTGTGAAGAAGCCGAATGGTACCTGGCGCATGTGTGTTGATTACACAGATCTGAACAAGGCATGACCGAATGATAGTTATCCACTTCCAAAGATCGACAGTCTGGTCGACTCTACAGCTGGACATGCTTTGATGAGTTTTATGGACGCTTATTCTAGCTTTTCATCAGATTCCCCTGGGGAAGAAAAATCAAGAGAAGACAACATTCGTCACTGATCATGGGTTATTCTGTTATACTGTGATGCCGTTTGGCTTGAAAAATGCGCCTGCTACTTTCCAACGAATGATTAATACGATTTTCATTAATCAAATCGGGA